TTGACTATGAACACCGCTACAAGACTACGTGCCAATAGACCAATAAGATTCCGGTAGGCCAAAAATCAGAAGGCAGATGATAATGGTAGTTGTAATATATTTGTTGGCAATCTCGTGGTATCGAAAGAATACCGAGATCGTGCCAAAGGAGTACAGGTGCGATCGGCAAGAAAAGATACGTGCAAAGTCGATAACCGCGTAGAAGCAATGGAATACAATGGAAGACTAAAATGGCTGTTATTAGCACAGTTAAACAAACGAGCACAGTAAAACAGTCACTGGTACAATTGGTTATAATAATAATTGTTTTCATCGAACCAATCGCGTTCTGTTGACAAAAGTAGGTCACTACAAGTGGATGGACACGTGTTTACATGCACATCTGTTATTATTATTTGCGTTACAGAGGTCATTATTACAAGTGAGTGGTTGGAAGATTTTCATCTTGTGAGAGACAACTGACCGCTGTCGGATATCTGATTTGTGACTTTTAGATTGCTTTTCATGAACTTTGCTCGGTAAGAATGTGCAGTATCGACGACCTTTGTTGATCAATCACAATTTGGTTAGTTGATAAGTGAATTTCGAATGCTGTTGAAAATAACTCACATGTAAAACTCTTTATCTTTATTATGTTTCATATTTCGCAACGATTGAGTGATGGTTTACTTATAAAATGTACTATTAAGGTCAGCATGTTTGCACTAATAATGCTAAGGACAGGAGTGTTAAGTTCGGACGTTAGGGTTCAGAAGTATCCAAATTAGGAGCAGTGAGCTAGGAGTTTACTGTCATGATCTACGGTTTAGAAGTTTCGTGGTTGTTAGAATTTAATGTATATAAGGCTACAAATATGAGTCAGTCAAATCAACAGAATGACGTTGTCTTCCCTGAATCATCGCTACACAGAACTTTTTATTTAATTTTAAGGCTTTCAAACTTCTGTCCTCCCAATAATCTATTCTTTGCAGTCCGGTTCGGATAAAGGTGTATGGTCTTGACCCTTGCTTTTGTGAAGCTCATCCGAGTCGGGTATTTACTTCATTTCGTTTCTTACACAAGCATTCTACACTGAGTAGAACGGGCTTTGACATGGTCTCCGCAAATAGAATTTGGGGATCCAAGTCTGAATTCAGAGACCCAGGTATTTCTGTGCACCTTGTATCGCGCCATTTCCTCCTCTTGTGTCTGATATTTTCGGTTGAATGTCTATGAGAAATGGTGTTCCCATAATGGACTATATTGTTGTGACCTGCATTAATCGTGTCATTTGGATCTAAAATTAGATTATTCATTACGTCCAATACGCATTCAGTTGCTGTAAATAACTCCATTTTATCCATAGGTTGCTATTTACCTGAAGGTGGCTTTCCAGATGCCTTCAGTAGCTCAATAGTATAAAGTGCCAGCGTAGATTTTGTGGAGCAGCACGAACTACATACTCAAGATATTATGACTTGAAATACCACAATACAATTAACTATTCTTAAATTATACTCATTTTATTGATTACACTCTCCCACACTCATAACAACATTTTGGCTTGATCTGATATAAATATTATTTCCTATTTCGGGTGTGATGGGTCTGTTTGGGTAGTGTATAAACTAAGTATGCTTGAAATAGTGGAAGCTCTTATTTGTGTTCTGGGCTCAGCTTGCAGGGCTAAGAGGGCTAGGCTTGTTCCCGATATTGAAGTACGGCATATCGATCTGTTTGCAACTTATGAACTCAAATTAACAATAGAACCAAATTCCAATTTAGGTACCAAAGTTTATTCGCAATTTGCAAAGAGTCGACCCAAATGTCGTCCTAGCAACTATAATTATAATAATTACAAAACAAACCTTCAATTTCGTAGGTTCCCGAAGCAAGAACTCCCAAATACCAAACCAAAGACAAAGAGAAACCAAAATAATGATATAAACAAACAAGTCCCGAAGTTGAGCAAAATAAATACATCTAAAACCACGGTGAAATTAATAATATTTAATATAAAGCTTTTAGTCAACCAAATGTCATTAGTTCTCCCGTAACACCTAGTGACCGACCTTAGGTCACAAACGGGTAAAAACAGATATCTGTGGGATTCGCAATCAAATTAGTATGTCTTTTGCGTAACCTAGGAATCATTCAGTTAAGTGGCGTGTTTCCTGTCGAATTCAATTAACACCCAAAAGATATTGAGATACTTTCATAGTCATTGTATCAATAAAGCGTTTGTAGAATTTAAATGCATCTCCAAAAAGATATTTTTACTGTATATATGTAGTTGTAATAATGTAATAATGTCCAATCTATCAGTCATATCATGCCAGCGACAATATGAGACCTATTGACAGTGCTTGAATACCGTTCCTTGCACAAACAATACTTGTTATCGAGTCTTTTGGGTGTCTTTGTCCCGCAGTCTTGGACAAGCATTTTGACGTCACACGTTTGCGCATATTATATAGATTTTACATCAGTAAATATAGTTTGACATTTTATTGATATCGATGTATACTCAAGAGTCTGGAATGCACTGTTTATCAAGTCAGAGATGGAGGTTTATAAGATTGTTTAGAAAAAAGTTCTGGTGCGTTGTTCCAGTCTACGGTCAACGTGGTAAACTCACAGAAAATGTTACGAATATTTGTTGATATCCTTTTTCGTGATACAGCCTAAAGTGGCGTAGGTTAATAATATTATATATTATATATTAAAACAAAGAGATCTATGACAGATAGCATACACCATGTTAATATCCACATCTTATCCTTTAGCAATCCGCAAGTTCCACGTAAAAATCTCACTGGTGGGAAAAACAGAGTTGATTTATCTCTTAGTATTGGCTAAATTGTTCTCATTTAGACTGGATTAAATGAACGCAACCGGACTGGAAAACTAGTAGTATTGAGTTAACACCAAAATAAGATCTCATTGTGTTTGAACTGTATTTATATTGACAATGATAATTAAAATAATTAGCAATTATATTAGATTAAAAATAACGCTGACACAATCGAATTTCAGGTAACCGCAATGTCGTGAAATATATCAAGTATTAAACTCTACTGGTCTAGTCTGTGTTTTAATGAGATGAAAACGAACTGTCCTGAGCGTCAGCATATCTCAAGTATTCATACGTCAATGTAGTAACCGAACATGATTGATGGATATATATAGACGGACAAACAAGCAGACAAAGAATATTGAGGATCACATACAAGACACGATGATGTTTGAATTATTGTACTAACTAAGAATTTCCGAAATAGTGCAATTAAGGCCGAACCAGGTCTGTTGTGAGATAGTAACTCACTGAAGACAATGGTGGATGTGTAGCTCAATTTCGTGGATTAGTTGAAGTTAGACACTAACACCATCGGATGCCAGCTCAGTGGACTAGTGGTTAAGTGCTCGCGCGAAGCCAGTGGGTCCTGGGTTAGAATCTCGCAGGGGGCGAGGTCGTGGATGCGCACTGCTGAGGAGTCCCGTAATAGGACGAAACGGCCATCCAGTGCTTCCAGGTTTTCCATGGTGGTCTAGCTTCAACTGACTCATGATCTTAACCATTTGCCCATGTTTGACCTACTATTTCTAATGTTTAACTATTGATAAGACTTTTGTCATCGTATTTTATTCTTACCTACTATCAGTACACCTGTCTTCCTACTATCAACTTGTACTTTTATCTATTATGTGTGGTGACTTATTCTATTTCATTGTGATTACTGACCCAAATTAATTTGATTGGTTTAACATTTTCGTATAAATATTACTGTATATTAGAGTAAAACCTGATGATGATCTAATTGAAAACAATTGTTCGCTTATATGTGTTGTTCTAATCTATCTTCCTCAGCCAATGTTTTACTTAGTTGATCGATACCTCTATCGTTTGTTTGAAAATTTAATATTTGGGAAGCAGTTGTGTTAACTATAATTACATGAATATTCTGGAAAATAAAAATAATGATGATTTTTTTTAGTTTAACGAACTAAACTAACTAAAAGTACATGATTGAACGACCAAGCCATTCTCAGTGCACGATTGTTCACGTAAGCATCAGTCTCCATCCTCTCGTTAACTCCGTTTACTTTTCCACACAAACAGATGTGCATTTGCAACCGTTGAACATGGTCTTCAGAAGTATATTGGGATTACCAAGTGAGCGATGTTGACGTTTGAACCCAGTGTAATGATAAAGAATGGTTAGTCGGTTGAAAAGGACATGAATCTTTATCAACTAAAGTAGTCGGTACATGTTTTATTGCTGAATGACTATTTTCCACCTCAACGCTCTATATTCACTAGTGTAGGTTTAGGTTGAAATTAAACCAAAAGTGACCTACTAAAACGTGGAATTAGTTTATGAAGACATTGGCTGTTGGCCCGAGCCTAGTTGATAGGTTGATACTACCTGGCTGAGGTATGTTCAATCTTCTTGACTAATGTTTGAAGACTTTGAGATATATGGCTCAGAATGGGTTGCTAAGATGCAGGTACATCCACTCTTTAATCTTCCTTATATTTTGAGTCTTAAAGGTATGTTGTACATTTCATTCCTCAAATTAATTATTTCTTCTTGAATTATAATTCCTAAGCTCAATTTTCTTAGTAGTATTTGTACTGTAGATGTTACATATGTTGACAGATATAAGTAGCATTTAGCACCAATCGGAATTGGAACCCATGTCGGAGGAAGATTGAGAAGATTTAATTGAAGAGAACAGAAAAAGGAACAAAAAGTGACTATAATGACAACGGAATAGAAAGAATCATGAAGCATGTAAAGGACAACTGATGGAAGATGTGCAGATTATGTATTTACGAAAGTACTCTGTAATTTTGTATTAAACAATAAATTCGTTTCTTCAACTGAGTTCTTGTTCACCACAATACTACTAACTTTACTCAAATCACTTTGATTCTCATCTCGTACTTATTCGCTGTAAAAATTGTTTTCATGGATTTATTCACCAGATTCTAAGCTGTTAATGAGTGTAACTAAAGAGGGCGAGACTATAATTTATAGACGAACCAATCGGATTTACGATAACAGATCTTGGAGTTTGGAGAAAAATTCACTCATCCATTTGTTTAAATAGAGTTTTGGCATTATAGCTGATGTCAGTTTGTGATGAAAACCCTATATCTGATTTTTAATACTAACCATCAAGTGTAAATATTAATCCTAATTCCTCACGCTGGTTGATAACCCTCATTTATCCCTAGTAAGTAGGTAGACTTTAGCGTCACTCGAAAGTCGTCTATAAATTATAGTCTCACCCCGAAGAAACATACATTTCTATATAAATTAAAAATGTTTCCTATATTAATTGTCAATTTTATAAGAAAACATTATCAATAATTGAAACCATTTTTTTGTTTAAAAATCTTTATATCAATTCATAGTGTTCTCTTAATATTCAAAAATTTAGTTCTATCGTCATGACAATTGAAATAAACTTGACTTTTATAGAAGTTAAAATACAAAAAAAAAGAAACAACCCCAGAACGAACACTAGAAAATCTATAAAACTAATCATTAATAAGGGATTTTTTTTAGATGGAAAGGGTGAAAAAGTAAACAATTGCATTTAAACGATTGTACTTCATATTTTATAATTAAAAGTTGATAACCATAACAATAACTGCTAAAAAAATAAATGCTCACATACAGATATTCATTGAACTATATTGAAATTTGCATAGAATCAGTCGATTTTGTAGTATTTTCTCTTTGAGTTTTTCTAAGTTGTGTATCTAATTGATTGACTAATTTATCCACCTAAAACAATAATTATAATACAAATAAATGATAGGGACTTTTATGATGTAAAAAGCTGAAATTATATATCTCAGCTGAATGATTTTGATAGAGTTTTGTTCTCTGAGCTGAATGGTTTGGTTGTGGAGCTATAATTATATTCTTTTCATCATAAGAGTGTTAATACATTTCTAAAAAGTCTATAAATTAGTTTACTGGACAATAAACCGATCAGTAGTCATTTGGAACAACTTAGTTTCATATGAATGTGATGGTTTTTATAACATGTAAAACCATAGTTCCTTAGTGATGGTTAGTGATGATTATAGAAATACATCATGAATTAAGAGTTAGGAATAAACAAAATGTGAAACATTTGATCTAAGTTAATGATGACTGATATATTATTCAATGTGCGAGGTTTGACACAGAGATACAATCTTCCTATAAATGAGGCCAACCGGCTACTCAAGCGTAAAGACCGAGAGAGAAAGGAAATTTTTGACTGAAGAAATAGATATTTATATTTTCATATATGCTTACTCCTTTTAAGCCTGGTGGAGGAACATCGACCGCCCACTAGCATTCACCATCCAATCCATAAACACTTGTTTGCAGTTACTCTTCGTCCTTCTCATGTCTGCTTCCTATTCCCGACTCAGTGTGTTCTTTGGTCTTCCTCTTTTTCGTTTCCCTTCAGCATTTCAAGTTAGCGCTTTTCTCGTGATGCAGTTTGATGATTTTCACAATGTGTGTCCTATCCACTTCTAACATCTTTTCCTAATTTCTTTCTCAGCTAGAACTTGATTTGTTCTCTTCTACAGCGGGTGTTGCTGATGCTATCCGGACAACAGACATTCAGCATCTTATTTAGACAATTGTAAATAAATCCGTGCTTTCCATCAGATGTCGAGGTCTTCATAATCCAGTCAACCAGAAAAATAAAGAGAAAGGGGGAGAATAGACATCCTCGTCTGACTCCAGTTCGTACTTGAAATGCATCTGTCAGCTGTCCTCTATTCACGAATGTTCACTGTAGTCCGTCGTATGAGTTCCAGGTAATGTTGACAATCTTCTCTGGTACACCAAAATGTGGAAGAGGCTTCCATAATGTTCTCCTATCCACACTGTCAGATGCCTTCTCATAATCAAGGAATTTGATGTATAGTGACACGTTCCATTCAATTAATTGCTCAACAATGATCCGTGGTGTCGCGATTTGGTCTGTGCACGACCAATCATTACGAAATTCAGACTGTTGATCTCGAAGTTGTGCGTCTACTGAGTCTTTCATCCGGTTTAGCAACAATGTTGAAAAAGTTTTCTGGTACTGATAGTAGTGTGATGCCTCTGTAGTTCTCGCACTTGCTCAGATTTTTTCTCTTTGGCATCTTGACGAGGTATCCTTTTTTGGTCTTTTCTCAATTGTCCTCCATGGTAGTTTCTTCTTCGTTGAGTAGGTCTGGTAGGCCTTAGAACCTATTGTTGAGAACTATCTTGATTTCGTTGAGTTTGTCAGTATCTTGAATGAAGTCTGTATTAGATTTTGTAATACTGTTTTCTTATTTGCCCATTACTTATTTATCTTCTTTTTCTTCTTGACAAGCACCAGGTGGTGATCTGAAGCTATATCAGCCACCCTCCTGGTTCTCACGTCTTTTATTGACCTTCTATATTTTTTAGATCGCCGTGGTGTGGTCCGGTGAGATCCATGTACCTTTGTGTGGAAATTTTGTGCCCCTATAACCAATTTGTTGAATTCACATAGATTTTCAAATCTCTCGCCATTCTCGCTCTTTTCTTCTGGTCCATGTCGTCTTATGATATCTTCATAGCCGTAGTTGTTCATTCAGACTCTGCCATTTAGATCACCTATCAGAGTGGTCAGGCCCTTCCGTCGGCACTTCTCTGTGATCGATTGCAGCCTCTCATAGAACTGACCTTTATCGTCGTCACTGCTGTCATTGGTGGGTACATAACATTGGATAACATTCATTGTCATTCCCTCCTTCTTTGTTTTGAAGGATGCTTTGATTATCCTGTCGAACAGACTTTGAACATACCAGACAATCATTTGGTATGCAATCTTACAACGAAACAACCCGAAAAAGCGGAAGTTACAAATCAAATTTGGTAGTGTACGTGGGTATTTAAGAGAGAAAGAGTGCTTGCACAAACTAACTCATTCATGATAATCCATGTACAGTCTGATATTATTCTGCAATACTTTACGTTGCCATTTTAAATTAGTGTGATGAGAAGTGGAATTAACAAGATGAATAGTTAACAAGTTGAAATACTATCAATGCAATTATGTTGAAAAAGATTGGTGGAGAATAATGTTTAAGAAGAATCAATCATTTAAAGATTTGACCCCCAAATTCCCTGGTACAACCGAGGGTGGTGAGAGTCCACTCTCTCTCTCTCCATCGAAATACTATCACATGGACACGAGTGCATGGCCAACGATAGGGAAGTTCTACTCGACGCCTTTTCGTGAGGAGGGTACTGTTTACAAAATTGAGAGGACGAAAAGTGAATTTCTCGCGCATTAACCGGATCAGAGAATATAGAGGACCCACCTAGAGGAGTTGTAAAACCCTGATTTCAAATCAACGGTGGATATTGGCTCCAGGATCTTAAGGGAATAAATGGTGCATGAACCTATTGTTAGTCGCCGGCTACCATTGGACTGAATCTCCTAAAGTTGCTGACTTGTGGATTGGACCTTTAGGTCAAAGGCTACGGGTGTGGCCCCTTAAGAAAACCACCTGCTTCGGTTTGGGCATCCGAGTAGTATCACAACCCTCACACGAATCGAATGATCTGTATGGTGCATATGTATTTGGTGCCTTCTTGCACCAATGTTTATGTGTTTAAATAAATAAGTAAATAAACTGTATTACTGAATACTGGAGCTCAGGATCTAGCAGACGTTCTGACCCATTCTAGTAGTTATATAATGCGATACAATAAATGCACAACCAGTAAGCGTAAGAAATCAATAACTTTCAATCATAAATCTTTTTATTCGAGAATTCGTTAAACATATGTGAATCAATGTGATCTAGGGATTTCAACAACGTTAGATAACTTACAAAGGGAACAACACAAACCAAAATAAGTCGGAACAAAAGAGACTATATGACTATTAGAAAATCTTATGAGAATCTAGGTGATTCGAAGGAATCAGAAAGCAGCGAATTATAAGACAGATTAAACATGACGGGAAGTAAGTCGGTTATGATAATTACTATGACTCAAGGTGAAAGAGGGAGTTATCATTTCCAAGTTGATAAGTGAGAACGACAGATATCACAGAAAATAGGGCTTGTAATAGACACAGCATACGTATGCAAAATTAATTTCATAAAAATAGGGGAACAGAGAATAATCAAGACCATTTGAATGTAAATAGTAGTATAATTATTGAATATAAGTAGTATAATGTGTGTATTCCATGAATATTTAAATATTTATATTGAACGGTATTTTGTATACAAATACATCAGACTCAAGTTATTGAAACAGTATCAATGCCAACGTATCATGAATAAAGCTTTTATATGAGAAATTTGCAAAATAATATTTTAGTATTTTGTTTTAGATATTTTAATGCCAGTTATGACTTCTTCCGATTGAGAACGTCGGGCTCACCAATTTCAAGTTTTTGAACGCTACCACTGAGTGTGGTGGTGTATATCAGACGAATATAGATGTTAGATGACCTACAGTTGGGTATTTTTTAATTATCTTGAACAGGATAATTGGTTATTTACATTGTTCATATTTAGAAAAGGGAAAACAACAAATGAAGTAGGCATTGTCGCTTATACGAAACCTATTATATGTACAGATAATTACATTGAAGATCAATTATCTGAAAGTTATCTCGATTAAATACACAATACGAGCAGTTCTGTCTGTGAGGTTTACGCAGAATAATTTTGATTAAAGTAGGAAATCATCACAAACCCGAAACCCCTAAAACGGATCAAACCTAAAGTGTCACTAAGAATGCATGCTGAGGTTGACGACGCCACGCCCAACCTTCCTCCTTTAGCCGGTCTTGGGACCGGTAGTAGCCTTAGAAGAGCTACAGGTGGAGTTTTATATAGATATATATCCCTTAGAAAATGTAGGCATTAGTGATGTATTTTACATGCCTTGAAAACGAAAATCATTTCCTAGTCGATCACGTGCATTTATCATTTTATCGATTTCTGATTAATCTAATATATCGTTAACTCACTTTTACTAAACTAAGTGATTTATTCTAGAAAAGAAGTTTCAAGTCTCCATAACAATTATTATTACTTACATCATTTTTATTCACCCAATATGGTAATTCAAATTCACTGGTTAAATTAAGTTTTTTGTATTTTGTAAACATTTGGTTGGCCAACTTTTTGTTTGATTTGACAAGAAAATTTGCACAATTCAAAATCACTAAAGGATTTTTACTAAAATGTAAATAATTAAAACAGTTTACATAATAGAAAATTTCGATTTAAATAAATACTATTCTTATAAAAATATTCATTTTATAGACCACTGGGTAAATATCATAGTACAGCAACTGATATAACAAATGTTGGAATCTCGATCAAACTCCAAAAGTAAATGAAGTTTATCTTATATCATGTGAAACAAGCAATTAAGAGCTGAGACTATTCAATATTAAAAATTATTTTAAAAAAGCTGTTGCCATCATAGAGTGAAAATGATAGTGTCAAATGTGAGTTAGAACAGCATATATAACCGAATAGCATTGTTTCCAATTAGACCCTCATCAATTCCCTAAATATTGCAAGTTCGCTTTAGTGGCAAGTACCAAATAACACGATACCTTTATCTAAGGTTCCCAACTGACTACCTCTAATTACCGAATATATATATAAAGTAGACAGATATACTCATTCGACTCACTTGCTTTGTTTATATGCATTCATAAAAGCTTCATAAGCTTTGAAATATTCATTTAATTTAATTAAACAATAACCCAAAAGACAATACAACATGCCAACATCATGAGTAATTTTATGATTATTATTATCATCATTATCATTTATAGCAGAACGATGGATTGATCTTTGTTTAATGAAGTTAAATAGATTAATTGATGTAGTGATATGTTGAAATGCACTTAACCATTGTGATGTATGCATATAACTTATGCCCAGATTAATTGATATTCTCCAGTCAAATGGTGTTAAGTAACTGGCACGTTTAAAACAAGTAATAGACTGTTAATTTGAAAGTGAAAAGTGATTGTCAAAATAAAGGAAAGAAAGTTAGAAATGAGTTATTTCTGAAGTTAAAATGATATAATGGGCAAAAAATAAACGTAACCAGTCAGAGGTTTTAATTCACTGGAACTCAATCAGAATCCCAGGAAGAAATGATACAAGTACATTGTAGTATCTTGTTGTATCCTAATACAAGAGACTAATAAATCTCAGATATTTATGATAACAAGATGAGCAATAACAGAATTATAATTAAATTTGTTGTAATTCATAAACGGAAAATCTTATTAATCAACTCACTTGGTGTAATTTACTTGTATCTTCTCATTAAGCAAAGATCTTTGCTTATAAAGCTTGTAGCTTCAGGCAATATCGAGGCAGTCCGCACAGGTTGCACATATGCTAACAATAGACTGATCGATTTCAGTCCTAAATAACAATGGGAAGATACAAGTAAATACCAAGTGAATACAACTTTACCCGATCGCACAATCAAGTGGCTATAAGGACTTAGTGGTTAAGTGGATAACGCGATGGCGTTTAAAGCGTGAGGTACTGGTTTCGGGTCACAGAGTGAACATCAACTATGAGATGCAGGTACATCCAGTTGACAAGTCCCAAATAGGACGAAACGCGCGTCCTGGATTACACTGCTAACCACTATCGATCTTTGCTCATAAATCAACTGTTTAATAAATAAATATATTAAGTCATCCCCCGGCGAATCTCCAGAGAGTTAATTTACACAAGCTAAATATATAAGTGACTATGATATATAATGAACCTGTTGAACCCCATTAGTCAAATCATTTTTAAATAAGTCGAATATTTATATGATTTTAATATTTTTGGACTGATATTTTAAAAGGAGTTAATATGGTGAACTATATTAATTGGCACTATCTATCTGTGTGATTCAGTGGAATCGAGTCAAATAAACTGATTCATTTAATAAATAGTATTATGGCTGAAGTTATCTGTAGAGTTTTCATTGTTTATCTTGTTATGTTTAGAATTCGTTTACTTATTACGTAATTGTTGAATACTGGAGAGTAATTTTCATAAGAAATATGAACCGTTAGATACCAACTCAGTGGTCTAAAGTTTATTGGCTTGTCAATGTGCCTGAATAGTTTGGGTTCGATTTCTAAAGCAACTGTCTGATATTACACTACGGCACAACAGCATACCAGTGCTTTGTGGTAAAAAAAACTACCCTCTAGACAATCGATGTATATATATATATATTATTTTCAGTAGAATTTTCATGGCATAAATCACAAACAGATCCTAAGAAAACCGACACTGGAAACCCTGAGGCATTCGACATCAATCTCGTTCTAGCTCGAAACTCGTCGGTGATGTCCATCCACAATCCCGCAGACGAGCATAGAGCCCACAACCTTTGGCTTTATGCACAAAAGCCTAATCTCTAAATTCTGAGCTAGGATCCAAGGGTGTACAAGTCTGACTTTACCAATCTGCGATATTGTGTTAATATCTTCCATTGTCTTCAGTCGGTGTCTTCCTCATACTCAGCACAATTAAGCTTTACCAGTCACGGCTTTCCGTTATAGCCTCGGAAGTAGCATCTTGAAACCAGTTACTTGTGAGCATATGATTATTATTAGTGAAGGGAGTATGTGGGAATCGTCGAATTTTCATGGTTTGAACCATAAACTAATTTTAGATAGATCACTATAGAAAACCTGGAAGCATTGGACGATCATTTCGTCCTAGCATATATATGTCACAGAACATTTTAATGACTTACAGCTATTAGATTTCTTTTACCCATTAGTGCTACACCAATATTATTCCATAATATTGGACTTTCAGAAGATTGTTTTAATATTGATCGATATTTATTCAATGCCACATCATAATCTTTATGCAAAGTAATGATTACACCAGCTAATTGATTTGCATCAAAATGATCCGGTTTTAAAATAATTGCTGAGCTTAAACACTCAAAAGCTAATTGTTCTTGACTGGTTTGGAAATATAATGAACCCAGATTAGATAAGATATCCGGATCTTCAGGTACTAGTCTGTTTTATCAAAAAAATGACGTTAGTTTTTATTTTATATAGTAGAGAAAGTGCCGAGAGATTTTCATTCTTAGAAAAAATAAATACAAAATGTTTCTTCAAAAATTATCTGATTAAATGACTGAACCTTAATGATAGATAATGAAGTTATTGAATTGACCGCTGCGGTTATATTGCTATTCTTATCAGTTCTGTATCGGAATGGATTGAGAAAGCTCCGTCGGTTTTTGTTAAATTCCATTACTTGTAGTGAAGTCAAGATATCAGTCTACCAACCAAAATTTAGGTATACTAAGCAGTTGTTCATTCTGTCTTACTTTATGACTGCTGATATCATAGCTACTAACTTGACTCTCTGATTACATTTTCTTATCGTGATGACCCACAAAATATATGCTTGCTGAAACAGTTGTTACTTTAGGTTCTTCCATGCCAGGTAAATTTCTTTATGAGCGGTAGGACTAAAAATGGCAAGTTGAATCGTAAGGATGACGTAGTAATACTAACTGAACAAGATTGTGATGACAATAAGTTGTTCCTTTCAGATAACCAGAATCTTCAGTGATGTTACCTCCTCATAAAGAAAGGGGTAGGTTAAAAGTACTCGGCTCAAAAGATGTCACACTTAACCTTACTTTATAGATTTCTATCTCTAGCAATAAGGCCTTGAAAGTAAAGAGCTAAAACATCAAAGACTATTTGCAGAAAGTTCCTATGTGACTGACATCAAACAGTTGTCTTTTGGACACTGCTGTCACACTTCCACGTCTTCGTGACTATTCCACACCCAATGATCTTTGCAGGTCTATCAAGAATCAAAATCATTCCTTGGAGTGGGAAACTGGGAAGCGACAGCCGCCCTTATACCTCTAATAGCAATCGGGGGACTCTTATTCACGTTCTAGCTCTCAATACTTGAACATTATGACAAATTAGATAGGTCTTCCTTAGCTGGAAAAAACTTCGCAACTGTGAAACACAGACTTCCAAGGTACAGAATACTGGCAATTTACTAGTGTTTGACCACGAACCCATTTGAAACACTTCTTTTTTATTTTGCGTACACTGAATGAGCAATCCTGAGGTTAGACCCAGAGTTCTAGGCATAGATGGTAAACCGGTTGAGTTGTGAATCGTTAATAATTGATGTATTCGAGATATCTGTAACCCATTCCTAGTATTTCTTAACGTAGTTTTTCCACGGGATAGGGTTGTAAACCCCATGCCCGAATTTCTTCCTATAACTGGGCTTAGGACCGGTAGTAACCCTATAAAGGCTCCAAACGGACTTGATTATGCCTAACCTCCAACTAACTTGACTATTGATGTTACCTGTTGTTTTACTAGTTTGGAATAAAGCTGGAGACAGCCAAAACAAGACATAGTATCAGTTTATGGAACCATTGATCGTTAGTTTGAACCAAGTTAGTAGATGCGAACTACCTGGTTAGAGTTCACGCAATTATCATGACCTATCGTTGGAGACGTTTTACGAATTGATTTAAAACAGGTTGCAATCGCGTAGATGCATTCACTGACTGATTTTTCGTGGAAGCTGAGTTTCAAAATTATCTTATGAGTTTTATTTCGCCAATTAACAATTTCTTCTCGAACCATATTTACTAGGCTGAATTTCTTTACAACCACTAATACTGTTACTACTGCTACTATTCTGACCTTTGTTATGATAATTCCAATTTCCTATACTAATATAATGCGACGAATTGAACCGATCTATAAATAAGTGCCAGTTTCTAAGCTGCATATAGTCGGCTGACCCACATAAAACGGAATATACGCTATAAGTTCCAGGAATTCATTTATGATTCGATGAATATAAGCATGCGAGGTCAAACGGTCAGTGCGAAGAGAAGTGTAAATTTAGGTGAAGGAAATACAAATTTACATGAATGAACGAGATCAATGAATAAAACTTATTAAGTAATATTCAACTAAAAAACTTAGTGGAAGGTAAAAAGTAATTCATGCAAATGCACCAAAACAAATAACTTCAGGACATGTAATGCAGTATCCGAAATTATTAAATTATGATTATTCAGCGAATCTAAACGACATGACGTTTACGCTTCTCGACACGGTTGTTTAGTGGATCGATGATTTTCTGGATTGATGACATATGATGACCTGATCACTCCTTACCGTTCTTTAAACTTATAGTCATATTTCAGTTAGAACTGTTCGCCGTAAAGTTAAGATTGATTAGCATATGTTGTAAAACACTTATTCCAGGTTATGTGGGGGATATCATATTAAAAACATATGTGTACACATTATCACATTTAAGTTTGATTATAGATTGGTACTAAACAACTCACAGAATTAATAACTAAAAATTTAGGGTGGTATGAAGTAATCAACAAGAGATCCAACTAATTCAACTCTTGTGGTTGTTAGAACTTATCAGCAAGTCCCCTAAACGATCCTCATGTAATCGATGCTATCCGTATGATTTAAACCTGTTTTATAATCAGTAACGTTTCCAATGAATTATCCCAGATGAAATTTCGCCTTTTGTAAGAGGCAGATATTCACAACAAACATTAGTCATTAAATAGTAACCAAAATTTTAAAACCCAAATTCGTAGTTCTGATCGATTTACATCAAAACACCATGACAATTTCTAGTGATCATGATACGACTTCTTGATAGATGAAATTTAATCGGGGCCAAGAACTACGGAAACATTATATTAGTCAGTTGTGCAATAGTTATTTAGAACATATCCATGAACATGGTTGAAACAAATGTTTACAATCTCATTGATCTTTGGTAATTTCCATTTTCATCCCGTCGCACAAGCAAGTGGCTATCAGGACTCAGTAGCTAAGTGGATAAGGCGATGGCGTTTGAAGTGAACGATACTGGGTTCGAGTTACAAAGTGAACATCAACTCTGGGATTCAGGTACATTCAACTGATGAGTCCCGAGTAGGACGAAACGCGCGTACTGGATTACACTGCTAACCACTATCCATCCTTGCTTATAATGCTTAGGAATTAAGACAATATCACGACAGTATGCATATATGCCATTAAGAGACTGACCAAGCGCAGTCCTAAACATCAATGTGAAGATTTAAGCAAACGATACCAAATGAATTCATTTTTCACTATTTTCTATAAGATGATTAAACGAGATTTCTTGGCTAATTGTTGAAATTGTTTAACATTATTTGACAAAACGTTTTACGGGTATAATTTATTCTTGATATTTTCCATAGAAGTATTGTACAGAACTGTTGAGTTATAATTGCTCAAATTAATGATTGATAAACTATTGTCATGTTTCTGATTGTGTGGAAAATAACGATAATGAATTTCCGTTCAACATTCCACATAACCTTTAACTACTTAAATTCTTCGTTTATATATATAAATATTTACATATAAAGATAAGGAGGAAGAGATAGAGATTCAACATACGCAGTTGCTTTCTTCAATGTTGCAATAGCAGAATTTATTGAGCTCTTTTCCAAATAAACTTTTGCTAACCATTTCAATGGTTTAATACTAATGGTAAGTTTACTAGATTTTTTAAAATACTTTTCAGCCTAAAAAAATAAAGAAATACATTGAATAGAATTAGGATAATTCATTACTACACACTAACCGATTCAAATTGTTTCATGTAGAAATAACATACACCTTGTCCAAATGGTATTTCCTAACAAAAATGTAAGAATATGGAATTAATAGATTATTACCCAATCATTTTGATTAAGTTTTAAAGCATCTTGATAAATTTCCAAAGCTTCATTATGATGACCTTGTAGATACCTGTAAAGAAACAAACGTACACATGACACATATGTTTTAATGACTGAGCCATATTTATGTTCAAAGTGATGCTTAGACACAGTAGAGTAAATAATCAGTTCATTATAAGAGTACTTAAAATATTTCATATTTGAATTTTGATAGCTTTTGCCTAATCATTTATAAAAAAGCATCGGTCAACATATTATTTTAAAGAGCAAAAAGAACATGTACCATTGACAAACTAGAACAATTGACAGATGCCAAAAGGATTTTGAGAGACAGCTCCTCACTTTGGGAACATATCGACAATTAAAAAAAAACTAAAACCAAATATATACCTATCTTATTCTTAGGAGTGATAATGTTGAGAACATAGACAATGGAAGATTAAAAACTACATTAACTAGAACCTAAGCTGCTACCAAAACATTGGTCCGGATTAAAACAGCATGTTCACAAAGCCAAAGGTCAAAAAGTTCCCCTTTCACATCACCACCACGTATGCTTATAAATTTACATATATCAGTCAGTCAGTCAGCTGCAACGTAGGACCAGGCACACATATGCATCGGTCCAAGTTGCCATACCGCATTAGCACAACAAGATGAACACTGGATTCATAAAAGTAGTTAATTCAGTGGTGGTAATATATAGAAGAAAGATTGTGTATAAGGAGATAGTACAGGGAGAAAGAATTAGTTCCTAGAAAGAAAGATTTGAAGTGGTTTTAATCTCTTAATTTAAAGGAAGACAGAGAGTGTATACACCGACGCCATTGTGATCGATTCTGAGCCATGTCACCCACAGACTCCAACCATTGGTTACAATAGTCACGCGGACCCCAACCAGGCAGTCTGCATCTACCAATATGGCTCAGACCAGAAGTTAGCGACTTCAAGTACTGATGCCACGTTTTGGTTTGGCCGCCCCTAACTTTCTTCCAATTATCCCTAACTCCGGTTAGCATTGCGCGCCGTGGTAATCGGTGTTTAGGCATACGCAACACGTAGCCCAACCATCTCAGTCGATGAAGATTCATAACCTCATCAACTGATTTACCATCATTCCCTAATACCCTGTGTCTAACCTCTTTATTACTTACCCGGTGATCCTAACAGATGCGAGCAATATTTCTAAGACATCTGTGGTCAAATACTAGTAGCTTACGAGTATCTTCTACTCTTAATGGCCACGTTTCACAGCCATATAATAGAACGGAACGAACTGCCGCGCAGTATACTCGTCCCCTAATTGATAGACGGATATCTCACCTTCGCCATAGATGACGTATGTTGGCAAAGGCCAAGAGAGCTTTTCGAATCCGTGCTGAGATTTCGTCAGACACCAACCCATTAGGGCTGATCAGACTTCCAAGATAAGTGAAGTTGTCAACGCGTTCGACCACTCAACTCCCCAGGTGTTGACGCAGACCAGTCCTGAAGCAACAACATTCATGTAGAGGGAGAAAAGCGCATACCAAACATTCTGGCATTATTGCTCAGTGCTACCAAAAGACTCTGCATTTCATCAGCGTCTTCACCAAACAGGACTATGTCATCTGCGTATTCTAAGTCAATAAGTGGACCTCCTGGTAGGAGATCAATACCTGAGAATTCAGTCGATGAGAGCGTTATTTCCATCAGTAGATCTATGATGAAGTTGAACAAAAATGGAGAAAGTGGACAGCCTTGACGGACACCACTTGAGGTTGCAAAAGCAGATGACAGTTCGCCACAAGCTCTCACTCGACTAGTAGTGTTCGAATAAAGAGCCTTCACAAGGTTTATGTACTTCTGAGGTACGCCTTTCAATGACAGACACTGCCACAGAACCTCTCGGTCTACAGAGTCAAATGCCGCTTTTAAGTCAAGGAATACCACCATTGTCGGACGCCGATAAGTATGCCTGTGTTCTAGAACCTGACGAATGGTGAATATGTGGTCGATGTAGCCACGACCAGGTTTGAAGCCAGCCTGATTTCCACGTGTTTGCAGTTCACGAATCTTAGTTAGGCGCCCGACAATTACTGAGGCTAGTATTTTAGATGCTATATTGGTTAAACTAATCCCTCTATGGTTGTCACAGAATGATTTTGACCCTTTCTTATCTATTGGGACGATAAGTGATTGTGACCAGTTAGATGGGATAACGTCTAACTCCCAGATTTTAGCTAAAATATTAGTCAACCTAGTCGCTAAAACTGGACCACCATACTTAAAGACCTCTGGTGTCAATCCATCTGGACCAGCTGCCCTTCCTCGTTTCAGATTAGCTATAGCCTTCAGCTAGAGTTGGGGGACCTACTTCAATGTTCCATTCATACTGTCTGGGAATAGAGGGTAGTTGTAGAGTAGCTGAAGGCCAGCTAAACTGCTCCTTAAAGTGTTCCGCCCATCGTTCTAAGCGTTTTTTTTCCGAAACAGTCTGACTTACACTTGATTCATTAATTCCAGTTTCTTTTATTAGTCTGTAGAGTTGTCTTGTGTTCCTTATAGCTGCCGCCTTTTCCACCTCTTTTGCTTTCGTTGCCCACCACTGCTCACGATCGTTCCTTAGACTTTCGCTTAATCTAGATCTGATTTCTTTACGCTCTTCATCGTGTTCAGAACCTGATGGGATGAGTTTACGAGAATCCATCAGTGCAATAGACCTTGAAGAAATCCATTGGTTCTTTGTAACCCTGTAGTTTAAACCACTAGTAGATGTCACTGTTGTTTCCACATCTGCTTGTATAACTTTCCAATCAACATCTGGGTCAGCCTCGTTTTCAGAACTACCGAAGTGTGACCTCAGTTGTTCCTGGAACCTACTTTTGGTTTTCTTACTACTCAATTCGGTTTCAATGAGTCTTTTTTGTGTGGCTTTTTTGCGTCCAGTGAGGCGCAAGCAGATGCGTGCTCGTATTGGGGCATGGTCGGAGTCCAAACAGGTACTCCAGAATGAGCGACTATCTTCTATCGACACTCTCCAACGATGACTGATGGCAATATGGTCTATTTGAGTCCATCGTTGGTTTGGTACAGCGGGTCGCCATGTTAGAAGATGTCTCTCCTTATGCTTAAAACTTGTGTTTGCTAAAAATAAACGGTTGTCTGAGCACAGTTGGAGCAGACGATCACCATTATCTGTTCGCTGTGCCGGAATACTAAAATACCCACTCAAATGTCTTTCTGTTTCGTTTAAGCTACCTACCTGGGCATTAAATTCACCTGCTACGAGTACTATGTCTAGACGTTTAGCTTTCTGAAGAAGTTCAGAGAGCTTTCTGTAAAATTCATCTTTCACTTCATCCGGGCTGCAGTCAGTGGGAGCGTAGGCAGAAACGACGAAAAGGCAACGACGTGTGTTTCGATCTTTCCGGGTTCTTGCGGAGCCGTTTAGCCGAGCAGCGCATAGACGACTGTTAACGAGATCCACTCTAATAGCACTTATTCCGCCCTCATGCTTAGTGCTATGCCTACACCTGCCAGTCCACGAGAACTAGCCATCGGGTCACCAGATACACGGAGGATGTATCTCGTTGGCTCTCCGTTTTGCCGAGGTGAGGTCAAGTGAATGACCTCACTAGGATCCTGTATGCGTGTTTCGGAGACACAGCATACATCAATGGTACGATATTCTAAGGTTTTAGCCAAGGATGCCTGCTGACCGATTTGGCATAGTGTGCGTACGTTGAAGGCTCCAATATGTAGTTTGGAGCGAGGTTTCAGTAGACCTGGGACAGTGTTTTGCGCACTAGAATCATTGGCTGTGGTGACACTTGAGGAGGAAGCCAAAAGAGGAAGTTTAGTCTAGAAAGTCGATGTAGGAGGAATAATAGGAACTGAAGAGGTAGGTTGATTATGAATACAGTGGTCTTGAGTGCTATTAGAGGTATGAGGGCGGTTATCACTTCCCGGTTGTCCACACCGTGGAAGGGTTCTTCTGGAGGTACCTGAAAAGGAAATTGTGTTAGAGATGGTCACAGTGACCTGAGAGCGTGACCGCAGTACCCAAGGGATAGCTGCTTTAGGTCGGTCACACATGACCTTTTTATGAGTAATTTTTGTGTTAGCTCCGTACTTGTTGAGACCTTACCGCCGGAGACGGATATCCGTGGGATAAAGCGAGGTGTGCATTTTTAGGGTCCACCTTTTTTAACCACACCCCTCCTTGTGGGAAGGCAGCATCGCTGTTATGATGGTTGTCTGAAGAAAACGCCCTACTGCTGTCACACCTCTGTACAGTCAGCAGTACGACTTCGCATTCGGACCTTGGATTTGTTGCTTTTAGTCTTACCGCTCTTCACCCGACCTGTCTGGCATGGTAGGACCTTGAGTAACGGTTGTTCCAGCCAGTATAGCTCAGTTGCTTCATCACGATAGGCAAGCCCGACCACCACGTCAAGGTAGCAACAACGGTCCCAAAGCGGTTAAGTTGGTCTGAGTAAAACGACTTATTTTGGATTTTTTAACATGTTCTGAAAACTGTTTGTTCATGAGGAATAAGTACTTTGCATGGAAAAATTCCTGGACATCTCTTGAATATATGGCATAAAGTTCATACTTTGAGGTCTTTCAACGTGATTAACATAAAATCATGCTCTAATCTTCCAAAGTCTTCTGAAGCAATTGTTATTAGTCGTCAGGATCCTGATTTGTGTCCAAAAGGAGATAGTTGTTAATACTTTTCTAGCATGGTTACATATACTACCTACGTTACATCATAAAATTTTGCTTAGCTCTTTCTTTTAAGTGATTAAGTCATATCTTTTTTGCGATTCTTCTAAATCAGTGGTTTTATTTTAACTGATTGAAATTTACTCATTTCATTCTTATTTATCATTAGTGTTCACTCATTACGCAACAATTTATTTACAGCTCATTGATTTTTTATTACAATCAATGCTGTACAGAGTTCTTTCACAAAAGATAAATTTGTTAATATATTTAATCTCTTAAATGTATTTATATTCTTTCTGTACTATACTGTTGTATGTTCAATTACATAAGTAATTTTGACCAGTATTTTTTATCATAATTTCTAAATGTTACAGGTTGTAAGTAGTTGATAAGAACCAAACAAAATAAAATGAATTGATTCGATCTGCTCTTTTTGAAATCGGATAGAGTTTGATCAATATTAGTCATGTCGATGAATAAATAATGTATTTGTACATATATGTGTTATGATTGGCTTAAGCTATTCAATACTGAATATTGTGAACTGCCGTGTGGTTACTTATTCAGAATGAAGAACATTAAGTAAACCTAAAGAATAGAAGTCATAACTAAAAACCAGATATTACCACACTGGAATTTTCAAAAACCCATATAGAAATTGACTAATATTTACCACACACGGTAATGGTTAGTTAAGGTTGTTTTATGAAGATTTTTAGTCTTTTAAGATTTGTTCATTACATACAGAGTTGTGGCATATGAAGACAACCCCGTCAGTGTGAGGTAGTAATTTATTCATCGTGCTGCATGATAATAATTCTGTATTAGGAACTCGAATACAGCTGCTAACTTGACTTAATGGTTGCGTCTGCTTAGCAACCTATATTGTCTGCCACGTGTTGACTTACGCCACTGTGACAATTAAAGTGTTGCCCTCGAACTATTAGCATATGAAGCTATTTTACTTCAACACAATGAGAGGCGGCGCTAGAAAATACCAGCCCGAAAATTCTCATTCCACCTTGATCTTTAGAGTTCTGATGGTGATGAGTGATGTTTTCAGGATACCTAGGTAATAAATTAAAAACTACTATCAGAATGGTCACTCAAAGCCAAACTCAAAAACCTATCCCTTTGGATCTGTAGTCACATTTTCTAGATAGATAAGATCACTAATAATTTAATTTCGATTTCAAGTATTTGAAAAAATATTCTCCCGTGTTTTGGGTAACTAACAACACGAGAACAAACCACACACCATTGACGGAACTCGAAATCATTTTGCTTAAAATCGGCTTCTGTAGCAGCTTGGCCAAGGTGTACGTTTGTACTAGACCCTACATTACTTATAATTGTACTGTAACGACCATAGTTAAATAGGTGATTTATCAAATTTGGCTGAATTATTTTAGGCTACCAATGAGATCTGAAAGTCATGAATTTAATGCTGTATACAACTGAGAGTGAGATAGTTACTTATAACAAATGTCAAAACAATTAAACATATATTTTAATTCGAGATAATTTTTACTTGTTTTTCAACTTATATTGATTTGTGATGAGGATTACTCTTCATTTGTACCGGAAATCACCCTCAAAAATATGACGTGAGGTACGAGGTTACTAGATAAATATAGTAAATCATTTAATGAGATTATGAGTCCTGATCAACTACGGTAGTTGAAATGTGCACCATGATCCCCAACTACTGCCCATTCAAATGTGCAGTGTTTGCTAGTGTAAAGTTGAAAGAAGGCTAAAGGCAGCAATACCAAGACGTGTTACCAGCCCATAAGGTCACTAGATGCTGGGTTAAGCCGTGTGGATGGATGCACACAACCTACTTGCCATAATCAATAGCTAGATATGTTGGATGACATAGGTCATAATCGGTCGCAACGGCGCAGAAGTATCAATGAACCTTACAATCATTTCATGAATTCATCATTGTCGAATCTTATTTTTTACTACCACTGATACTTCTACTACTTTGATATGAGTCTTAGTAACTACTTACTTTTCCGATTTAGCCTGGTGACCTGAATCAATGCACATATTTATCAGGTTCTACTTTGCATACGACTGAGTGAATGGTAAAATGTGTCTACTTTTATAAAATTTACATTCTCTACCAATAGTTTGTCTTTTTTCAATAAAATTCGAACCATTTGTCTAGTGTTCTTAATCAGTACAATTTGATAAACTAGAAATCGCGATACTGTTTTATATACAAAAAAAAGCAAATTTTATTCATTTAAAAATATCTATATGAAGAATAATAGCAACAACAATGACACTTACAATGACCTTGCAATTTGCTTCATTACATCAACTGACTTATTGTTATGCTTCAAACATTTGAATAAACTATCTAAAGATTGTTGTATACACCCACCAAGTCGATTAATTAGACTTAAACAATACAAATGATAATCGTCATTTAATGTGAATCGCCCGTTAGTACAATTTTTAATAATATCTGTACATTTGGAAAACGCTGATTGTGTGTAAAGAGTGTGTAATAACCAATTCACACTTTCAATTGGTTGAATATATGAAGATTCTTCGGTATCAAGAAGGTATTTTTTAGAAAATGAATTAACTCACCTCCATGCATCGTTCAAACGAGCATTTGTAAAGATTATTTTATTGAACGACACCAACTGAATAATAGTATGAATAGTAAAAAATTCTGTTTAACCCCAAGCAAAATGATTTAAGTTGAGAGGAAAATGAAATAAATTGCGTGAGTATTTAATGTCTTATTTTACGTATTAAGTATTCTAAAAATAAAGAGTGAGGATTGTTTGAGATTTTGCTCATTGTGTTGTCAAAATATTACTCTCAAAAATCATATGAGGTAACATATTTGAAGCCATTTTTGTAGTAAATATTGCTTTTATCAACAAAATATGGTATTTTAAATAGTAGTGATATTTTTAAATGAAACGTTTTTATTAGAAATGGTGGATTCAATACAATGAATAACTACGGCTTTTCACGAACCTTAACAATACTTTAAGGAGAGATAGGAGACGCTGAAGACCATATATAAAGACAAAGGATTGTAGAAATCGTCTCTTTGAAAGTAAGACAAGTGTTTGAGTAGGGACCGTGATAAATGTAAGGGTAATAAAAAACTAAAGAGACCGCTAACCAACTGTGTTAATGAAAACAATAGGGTTTGAAGTGGTTAGCAAGCCTGACTTCTTATCGATTCCAGGAACGTTTCGTATGGCAGAAGTGGTAACCGAAAAAAGAAGGCTGACAAACATGGAGTGCCTTTTGAAAGAGATAAAATTAATTAACCCCAAAATTTGTAAAATATGGTTTCCACGACTATGGTTCCTGCATTTGCTTGACAGATACTACAGTGCAAGATATTATCTTTGGTGCTTTTTTCAGTTACGGTACAATACGATCAATTATTCTTGTAAAGCCTTATAATTATAAAAGATTAAAAGTGTAGAAAGAATTCCATTCTTAGAGATTCATATTGGTTTTATGGTTATTTGATTCTTTATGAATAAAGTAACAGGGATACTTAAACAATCACATTTTTGTCTTAAAAATTGTGTTGTGATGTATTGAAAACAACATATAGCAATAACAATGAGTAAAAAATGCAGCAAACCTTTAGGTAGTACAAAAATAGGCACTAGAATCTAGTAATGGTCAAAGTGTCACTATGGTAATAAATTACTTGCATTCTTTTATCAATAAATAACTAAAATGTGTTTAGTAGGTCAACCATTTTTATTCAGTTAGTTAAACCGAGTATAAAACCTGGAAATCCAATCACTGTGTTTATAAATAGCTTCATATCATCGCACATCTAGTCGATACTTGTCGTTGAAATGATAAAAATATTGCCTTTAGATTTATGTCAAGTCTTAATCAAGCTAGACTATTCTTCCAGATCTCGTCATTTACATGAATACCAAATCAAATGAACCCTCCTGAATAAACCTGATTTGTGGAATCCAAAAACGTTTGATAACCTATTTCTTACTTGTGAAGTCCGGCTATTCAACTTCTTTTAAATTTCTTATTCTTATACGTTCACGATTATTTTTTACAATTAACATCTTGTGATTAACACATTACCTTTAAAGATAATGCTAAATTTCAATTTTAATGTTGTTATTAAGTTTACACTTGGTAGAAAAACCTATATACTATAGGGAAGCCAGATTGATGACGTTTTATACAATCTACACTGTTAATGCCTTCATTGGAATATTTACTAGATTGTTCCTTCTTAAAATACTAACCAAGTCATAATGTAGCAGCAGTCCATAAAGTTAACGGCTGTCGGTCTGACGCATGTTTTTAAATGGAGGCTACGTGGTTGCAGCCAAAGCAGTAAAACCAATCAGCAGTTGTAGATGTTGTGTGACACGGCTTAGAGTCAATCATGATTGTAGAAATGTATTCAATTTGTCTTACTTTAGATCTTCAGTACCAGTATTTCTTCATATATGCTGTCTAAATCCTTTTTAAAATGTATGGTGTACGTTTCTAATTTGTTATTTGAAATCATCTGAGTCTTCCCGTTGTTTATGAAAGAACTCAAATTGATCAATCTTGGGGCTCGGTGAAACGCTATTACTGCTTTCAGATTATGTGAAACCTGCCTCCTACCTCATTTAGTAAAGTTTTGGAGAAAGAAAAATCAAGTTCATACTCTCTCTTTTTCTTTCCACTAAATCACACATCTCCGAAGACAGCAGGCGAGTAGAAAAGCCACGAACGAATAAAATACTCATGACACACAGGTTCTCACACCGAGTCATCAATACTTGGAACCTGCTGCCCGAAACGATGGTGTCCGCACCTTCAGTTGACACTTTCAAAGGGACTAGACACTCACAGAAGCATGCTAGAAAAGGAATAAAATAAGCCGTAGGCCTTCTGTCCTTACTACACAAATCTGAATCTGAAATTAAAGGGACGCATAGCCGTTTTAGAAGTACCTGATTTGATTTCAGAAATAGAAGAATAACACTACGTCAATTTATAACTGTAAAAGATCAATAGCAAAATGATTCAAAAAACAAGTCCAGTCTAGATAATTCTCTATCAGAGATGTTAATAGAAAAAGACTTGAATTTATTGATGGCACGTAGACCAAAATCGTGCTCTAACTGCATAAAGTTTCATTCAACAAAACATTGACCGACACTCTTTGAAACGAAGTTATGGTGATTCATAGTGTAGCAAATCCTCTACATCTGTAGACACTATCATATAATAAATGGGTAACAAATAAAACAACAATCCGTTATTTCTGCACAAAAAGACTCTGATAATCAACTACTACTTATGATAAAAGTAGTTTAAATGTTTTCCCGAACTCTGAAGTCTGAGAAAATTTTGGGGAATTTCACCAAAAGTTTCTATAGCGGCTTCTCCAAAATAAGTCATATTTTCCAAAAAACTGGGAGATTGGACGAATATACAAGAACAATGTTTGAAAATGATTTGGATATAACTAACTCCATACTTTCATTTGCTTAAAGCTTATCATCTTGAGGTATATCCCAAGTAAATTCAAGAATCGAGATTACATTAAACACGTCCCAAGCTCCCAATTTTGGGGAAAATTTTACGTATTTTGAGGAAATTTTGGGGAAATGGCACAAAAACCCTAAAATTTTCCCAGACATGAGGAAATTCCTCAAAAGTTCCCCAAACGTTGGGGTTCTTCCCCAAAACACGTGTTTGGCTTCTCGCATCAAGTAGTGAAATACGAAAATTCTCCAACATAACATGTAAAAACAACACCTTTTGATGATGCATTTAAAGCAAGATTAGACCCACAAATCACAAAGACTAATATAAGTCATCCATTCTATTCTCACCAGACAAACCCTCGAATTTAAAAAAAGGAGCTTTGACGGTAGTAACGGCTTTAAGTGTTGAGTGATTGAAACAAAAAGAGCTTTTTCCTCGTTCACTTGGTAAGATATAGATTCGATCTGGTTTTGACAACTTTTACAAACAAAGACTAGTATGTATTCAATACTCATCTCTCGGGTTTGTAAAAACCGACTAGTTTCTTTACGCTCGCTTGTTGTTCTGGTACAGTGGGTGGTAATATAGCTAAAAGACTGAACTAATTCTACTCAGCTTGACATTTTTCGTTAATATATGTATCTTGTGACTTAGATGAGTGTAGTTGTTGCAGGGAAGTAGGGTTTCTGGATAACCCGTTCTATCACATTACTAGGCAAGAGGTAATTTGCTTTCAGTGACAAAAGTAATAAAGATAAAATTCGAATGTAGGCAAATTATGAGATGTGCATCAATCACAGACTGTTCATGACATGATATTTCGACATATTAATTTCTAGCATTTTGTTTACTGCACACTTCTCTATTATTTAAGGTCATTTTAAGACTCTAATGAAACTTGTTCGCGTCTTATGGACTCCCAGATCATTGAGTCATCTGCATAGACCAGTGGCGCTCAGCTACATTTATCTAACGTGTCATTACTGAGGATTAAGAACAAGAGCGGACCTAAGATTTTTCCTCAAAGATTTCCTGATGCTTCGATATTCCAACTTGCGCGCACTCTATCTTGGCATGATATATCCTGTTCTCTAGGTAATTTTGGAGCCAGGACAATGGTGGACCAGTGAAACTTTTCCTTGCGACCTTCACTTGAGAAAAAAATAGTGTACTGTATCATAGGCTTTTGAGAAATTGAGTATTATTAAGCTAACTGATATCTTATAATCCCGGACGATCGTTCAGCTTACCTGTGTTTTAGGTAAGTTTGACACTCAGGAACTGCCTTTCCTGAACCATTGATGAGCTTCGTGGTGAATGTCGTTTTTATTTACCGATTCCCTCATTTGTTCATGACTAGTCCTTTCATTAACTTTGGCATCATTAGTTGTAACAAATTAAGGTGGGTCATTAAAAGTTGGCTGAAAATATATCTGTTATGTCAAAACACTAGAAAGTAAGTATTTATCTACATTTTTATTTTGCGTAAGCATTATATTTCCTACTATTTTGCATGGAATACTGTGAACATTCTTCGAGAAAAGAGAACCTCGCACTACAACTGTTCATTTCCACTGTGTTAATGAAGATATGCCGCAACTGCTTACCTGGCATTTTACATAAGTGAAAAAAAGAATAATGTGGCTCATTTTTAACGGGCTGAAAAGTTTCTTATAATCGTTTTAGTAGATAGGTAAGAGTGTGGAATTGCTATCTAGTTCGGAATCAGTACCTGTGTCTTCGTAATTTGATAATAAAACTAAATGTCATGTTGTAACTACCTAATTGATGAGATCGTACTTGGAAGTCACATCATTTTCTAAAATGACTCGCCTTATAGTAAAAATCAGGTATATGATGTCTAGCGCTTCTGTAGATAACATTTGGGATGGTTTGAGAGTAATATACTCGTTACAAGAGGCAAACAGTTATACATAGAGTGACCACATCGGCATGACAGATTCATGCCATTTCGATTCCTTGTTGTTGCGTTCAATATTGTTGACCTATGTCTATAAGGCAAAACATTTCGTTTAGCTACGGCTGCCTATGGTCTAATGAAATGGTATTGAGCTGATTTATTACGCAAACTATCTCTTTGAATCGTGTTTAAAATTATGAATCGCTTTCACTTCCTGGTAAGTAATCCTATTACAAGCAAACGAGACAATTAGCTAAAAACGAAGCCTGCTCAAGACCACATAAAATCTATAAAAAAATAATCGGCTCAAATAGAATCGGGAAAAAAGGGAAACAGCCATGTGTGTATTAAAATACTGTTTTCAGCACTATATTTTATAACTACACATAATCCCATACTTTCAGCTTCTCTCTGAACCACCTTCGTTTATACAATGCTTTATCCATTCATAAATTGTTTACACTTATTTTCATGAACATATTAAAGGTTCTTGCTTATTAAGTGTTAGGGTTGAAAAGCGAGCTGTCACGGGTTCACGTAGTTTGAGAACGAGATCGAGGTTCGGTGACCAGGGTCCAGTAAGCTAACTATTGACGGGTCTCAGCCTCGCTATCTAGAGTGAGAAGACCAACTTTAGAATGAAAGTATATTCTGTAACAACCAGAAAACCAGCAACCTTTTTACAAGACAATTTCAAAACATATCTATACAAATATATATATATCGATATTGTCATGGAGCTCTGAAACATTTAATCGATAAGTTCGTCAATTGACTGCCATTGAAATATTTAAACATTTAATCGATAAATTCGTCAATCAACTATGTGCGTGGGTGGTAGGAAATGCCCACGTGTACATCTGCATACAAGCTCCACAAGATAAAATAACAAACTATGAGTTTTTGGGGATCTATCGTCCCCGACATTAAGTACCTTAACAAAAGAGAATTTAACTAAATAGTCATACCTCATCTAGTCCTCCATGTAGATTGCCTGCTCTGCTTCTCGTCCTTTCTTTTTCTTACACCCTCTTTCAGCCCCATCGAGTTAGGTCACTGACAACAGATACAGAACGGCGGAATTCGTCCTGCACCATCATTAAAGCCACAGATATTCCAGAGAGATATAAAGTTGCAGTTTCTAGAAGCCTCCAACCACACGAGGATTTATCCTCGATCATTAGTTGCACATCGCAACGCAACTTTAATAAGGCGCGCCAACTGTGGTATTGATAATACGGGTCTTAATAAAACTATCTACATTCATATCTTATAAAATATCAACCCAAGTGAGTAATTAACTACAGTGAAAATTGTATCTTATGTAACAATTTGATCTTGTCTGTAAACTGGCATGCCTCATTTAACAAACTGTTATTCGAAAATAAATTATTATTATTAGAATGTGAACCTTTGTTATATCCGGATGACAAATGTAAATGGTAACTGTTAGGATCTATTTATGGATTTCTATTGTATATATATCCTTGTTGTATAACTTTTAAGTAGCTAGGTTTTTACACTGATTTCATCTTATTATAAGCTTCTATTTGACCCAGTGACTACTATTATACGACGCGCTATTCTTACGTTATTCTCAACTTATTAGCTACAGTCTCTCATACCCATAGTCACTTTTTATCCTGATCTTTTACGATTGTTGTTTTTTACTTTATGGTATGATGAGGTCTAATTTGTTTGTATATAGACCTGTAGTGACTTGCTTTGTTAATCAGTTAACCGTGATAACCGTTATTATATAAATTTCACGGCTTTTGAAAGAGAAGATAATACGAAGCAACAACTACAGTTTATTAGCAGATATCACAGATCAAAAAGATGCAAACACACCGAGCTGATTTAGAATAATGGCGAATAGGCGCGTACGAGTGAGCAAATACAGAGGCGAATTTATAGTCAAATCGAATGACGGCACAGCAAGCTAAAGGCTAATAGTAGGATTCGAGTACATATATACATGAAGAAGAGAATGATTCATTGAGTAATATTTAAGCTATCAACATTTAAGCTAGAGAGATATATGCGTAGGCTGCCATGATATTAAGCATACACGTTTATACAGACACGACAGTAAGCACAACATTACGAAGAAATAGACGGCTTTTTACTGTTCGAATAACATTGTCAAGTTAATAAAAGAGCTTAACAAAAATTAACCATAATCGAAATTGATTGTAGGAGAGTGGCTATAAACTCCGTATGTCTGAAATACATAATTCGTGTATAAGAAGCAGTGTGCTGGACTCAAACAGACGGGACTAGACAGAAGGACCAATGAGGACTCAGAGTGGACTCCAGGCTGCTGGAACATATTAACGCGAAGCTAGGTTAACTCAATGTCAAGGTCATTAGGTCGTGTTCCAATTGGCGATACAGTGTTGTGGTAATTGAGGGGACCAGAAGACATGATGATCTCAGTAATTGTACGCCACGCTTCAAAGGTCGTTTGGTTAGGAATCAATAATACTACGAAAGAGTGAGCTGCCTTCATACTCTTCGGAGTTTGTGTGAATCTAGTAAGTGCCCAGACAGGCCAAACATTGATGTCCCAGTGGCTTCAGCGAACGTTTTCCGGATTATAGGTCGGATGTTATCACATTCTGGTGACTTCCTTGAAGGTTTGTACTTTAGTCTGTTTAATACTAACCCAGTGGTTAGCTGTCTCCCATACCTTCAACTGGTACTATAGTTGAAAGATGTTCCGCACTCGGAGGTTCCCAGTTTAATATTTATCTCAAGTTGTGACTAAAGATCTCCGCTATCTCCAAGTTTGTAAGATTTTCGCCATTTGGCTTTCAAATAATACAAATCCACTGGTTTGTAGTCGTCCTTGTGGTTGTGAATATGTAGAGATGCCTAGAGCCGACTTGCTTTTGGCTGCAGCTTTGCTTTAAAAGACCTACTGCCGCAAACTTTGGCGCTGCACTCGCCTCCTAATGCCAAGCGAGAGCTATCGTCAGAATCCCCCAGGGAGATTTTTCTTCTTTACCGGGTTCTCTGTTTAGCATGTGGTGAGCGTTCTGTGTATCGATTAACCAGAAATCTTAGCTTCCCAAGTGTGTGCCTACTCTATGGTACATTGTGTTGGATAGCATTCTGTGTGGTTTCCTTGACTATCTCCGAGTAGTCAGTCCCTAATAGTCTCTGCCATTTTCCTGGCTACGTGACATGTTTTAAATGCTTCCCCATCGACGTGTAGTGTGCTCGTGTTTAGCTAATGTAGGTAACATTCTCGTACTTCCAAAGCAGATGCATAGACAAAGTTTTCATCCCAGGTAATTCTTCCATGTTTTTAAGTATCCCTCGTTCTATTGATAGAAGAGACCATACTATTAGTGGATAGATCTTTATTTAAGTTTTTGATGGCACACAGTGAAACGCAAAGTGACTTGTTCAAATACACAAGGCTTTTCAACATTCAGCATAAGATAATGGAA